GTCCTGGTTTGGAACTCTTCAGCAATACACACCCACCCCACCACCACGGTTCGAACCCAGGACCTTCTGGTTACAAGGCGAGCTCGTAGACCATTGAGCCACTAGGACCCGATCCAAAGGTCCTTGAATTCTAACTTCTGCCATATCATGACATAGCGCGACCACTTCTTCGATGAAATGTAATTACATGTAATCAAATTAGTGCACAAAGTGAATATTCTGACCGATTATACCACAATTAACAAGTTAAGAATCTCACCTTTACGGAGTGTATCGCTGTGAAGTGACTTAAACTCAAGTTACAAGAAGAAACTGCGATTAGTCTCAAGTCACTCTGGTAACAATTATTCAACACATGACGTCACTACACATTTTGTTTTCTACAATTCTTCTTTTTTGGCGCATTGATTTTAACTTCCTTAACTCAATTGGGATCGCTTCTAAGTGCATTACGTGATATTCTACCTATATACTGCTGGTTATCCATTACTGTAATGTTCATGGTGTCGTACTACTCCCTTTACTGTCACGTAAAACTTTGATCCTCATGACTAGTTTCTACCAACCGAAAAAGAAAAAGCCGCAAGCTTTTATTGCTATAATCTATATATATATATATATATATATATATAGTTATTGGTTTTTAAGAATTTGATTGGTTAGTTACAGGATTTCTTCATGACTTTACATCGGTTAGACAACCACTGAAAACCTACAGGGAGTAGTAGACCTATATTTCATTCTAGTTTGTGACTCTACAACAGTACGCACCCATCGACAGGGTTCGAACTCAGGACCTTTTAGTTACAAGGCGAGCTCGTATACCATTCAGCCTCTGAGACCCGATTCAATGAAATTACGACTTCCTACAGGACGGAGTTTCCTGGAGTTCTACTGAGAAGCCGTAATCAATGAGGTCGATCCAGTCAAGTGTGAGGATGGATTTCCCACCGATGACATTGATTGGTGGTCGCCCCAAATCATAAATTGGTAGAAGTTAGAATTCATGGGCTGGCTGGCCATTGAATCGGATCCCATTGGCTGAATGGTATACAAGCTCGCCTTATAACCACAAGATCCTGTATTTGATCCCGGTTGGTGGGTGCGTAATGCTGCAGAGTCTCATTCTAGAACGAAACATCTGTCCAATACTCCCAGGTTCTTCAGCAGTTCTCTAAACGTTGTCAGCTCATGATGAAATCTCATGTATATATTATAATTTCAACAACAACAAACGGTACAGATGAAGATGTTAAAACTAAAACCAGTCGAGTACTGTAAAGCATGGGGCAGCTCCATTCATCTGAAATCAGTGTGGAAATCTGCTGTACTCAGCGACAAAATGAAGATTCGTATTTTCAACACAATTGTGAAATCAGTTACTCGATAAGGTTTATAGGCGTATCACCTCACGTAAAGCATTTCCAGCAGCCTGTGACAGATTTTTATGAACAAATGTCTTCACTGCTTGATAGTGAAGGTCAGATGGTCAGCCAGGAAGAATTAGCATCGAGAAACTCTGGGAAGCAAGTGACTAGGAATACTCAGAAAGAAATAAGGTGTATCAGACATACTCTGAGAAGTTCGATAAGTGACACCTTGCTCCAGGAGTTTGAGTAAAACCCGAGTGAGAAACGACGAGTTGGGCGTGTTTCAGAATGTAATATGGAGAAGATCGTGTAAGAGCTTATGGAAAATTGTGAGGCAAGTGGAGAGAGCTGCAGAAAACAGGGTGGAATGAAGATGTGCTCTTGAAGCTTTATATTCCACTTGGAAGCCAAGGAAATAACAATAATACATATCCATCTATGCTAGTCGAAGATTACACAATGCTGAAAACACCAATTCTCATTCAACCACTAAAGTTTGTACTGGCTTCGGTGGTAAATATATAAAAGCTAGAAGGATACACAGAAGGTTATCATGACCTCTGTGCAAGGAGGGCATGCAAAATCGTGAAATGTCCCGTACTCCTTTTGTGTAGAATACTCGTCACTTATGCACGTGGTCTGCGTTCAATTCTCCTAAACTTTGTCTACTTTACCATTTAACAATAAGCCGAAGCAGAGTTAGGTATGAAGTTAGCGACTCCATCCCGTAAAACACCAGCACTACAGGAACTTCAAAAAACTTGACGCTGTAGTGGTGTTCTATTTGACCAAACTTGCGTACACCTATATCTTAGTAATTCTTCTCGTTTATTATTATTGTGTCCTAACGTTGTGTTTTCTCAACGTCCACAACGTAAATCAAAAGGCACTTGAGAAGGAGTACGAACGTGTATTATCGCAGTAATCAAAACTCAAAAGTTGAGCAAGTACAAAGTATCAATTGTTAACACGCAATATTTAGAGTGATAAACAAATCAAAGTCCAATTACATAGTGAAAGTATACTATAATGACAAGTAATTAAATGGGTCACTACAACGCCTTATGTATCCACTCAGAACTTGAAAGAAATGAAATCAGTATTTTCTAAGCTGGTTGTATTTAAAGTGAAACCTCCAAATAAAACGCTTATATTTAATTATGACAAGTCTTCTTATTGCCTTGACTAATAAGAATAAATGAAGCACAATGCATGACTTAATAATCTTAAGTGAATAGCGCAATTTCGACCATAAGAACAGCTATTTCTCAAATTGTCATATGGTCTCTTCTCTATTCCATATAGCATACTTGAAAACATACATTTAACGCCGACGTTTAGTCTACCAGTATTCTAAATTTAAAATTCCCCAATGTACAACCTTTTTTTTATGTTCTATCGTTGCAATATTTACTGTATGCTGTTTTCATTTCAGGTAGCTTAGATTTACTGAGAGTCAGTGAAGTAAAATAAAATACGAGTTGATCACAGATTGATATCAGTTAAAGAATCATTGAAAACCTACAGTGAGTACTGGACGTCTGTTTCATCCTACTTTTGAGAATCATCAACAGTACGCACCCACTGGGGTCAATCCAGTCAAGTGTGAGGATGGATTTCACGCCGATGACATCGTTTGGTGGTTGTGTTAAATGAATAGCGAATTGGCAGAAGTTAGAATTCGTGAGTTGTTCATTGAATCGGGTCCCAATGGCCGAATGGCATACGAGCTTGCCGTGTATCCGGAAGGTCCTGAGTTCGAACCTCTTAATGTGGGTGCGTACTGACGATGATTTCCAAACTGGAAATATGAAAAAGCGGTCTGGCAGTACTCCCTGCGGGTTTTCAGTGGTTTTCTAACTGATATCAATCTATGGTCAAACTCCTAAAAGCAAATCTAATCCTTACAAACGAACTGTTGAAAATAATATACTGAAAATTCTACTACCATTGCGCTTTTCATCAATATCGATGGGAATGAATTCATTTTCTGCTGAGGATTGTAGAAAAATGATTGATCTGATAATTCCTTCATGAACAATCTATTCACGTTACTGATACTTATTTGAATATCTTTCCTTGTGCATCGGCTGTTCAGCAGTAGAAAGCTCGCCAACCATTCACGTGGTCCAGAGATCAATTCTCGGCCGGCGTGTTCTTAAACCTCGCTTAGCTGGTAATGCACCCAGTAAAGAGGTAAGGTTAGGTGTGAGGCTAGCAACCACACCCCAGAAAAATAAAAACCACTGTTATCGAAACTTCAAACCTGTTTGTTTGACTGAAGTCTTTGGACAATGTATTTGTTCTGACCGATTCTTGCAGACAGGCTTATATTCCCACTTTGCTAGGCATATACTTATTTGCTTCCTAAGCAAATAAAGATTGTGTTCAGATAATTATTTTTGTTGTGCATTGCGCGATTTGTACCTGAGAGAATTTCGGGCTGTATGGATCTTAGAAGGCATTTTTGATTTGTTTCTGCTGTTGAATGGTACCATAGATTTTACCATATTGGAGTGTATTTTTGATATGACTGAGATTTTATATTACTCGCGAAAGTTTAGGAAGCTATACACAAGAAATTATTGATTGGTTTCATGCATTTAGATTGAAATAATTGAGTTTTGATCGTTACAAGAGTAGCATTAAAGCTGCGGTATTCCCTGCGTTTTTACTTCATCATCTATTGCGTAGTTTCAGACTCTTCACCAGTACCAACCCACGAACCCAAAGCCTCCCAGTTATGAGACCAAGCTCGCTGACCATCACACCACTTAAGCCGGAGCTGAAATTGATCAAAATCTACACTGTGACTAATCGTCAAAATACCACTTAGCGAACTAGGGAGTACTGGAGAGTTATTTTATCCTAGTTTGGGAATCATCGTCGGTACGCACTCATACTAAGAAGTTCGAACCCATGACATTCCAGACACAAGGCTAGCTCGTATAACATTCAGCCACTTGGACCAGATTCAATGGCCATACCATGAGTTCTAACTTCTAACAATAAGTAATTTTAATGCAGCTGGCACCAACCATCCTCACAATTGACTGGATGAACTTCACTCGTCACGGCTTCTCACCAGAACTCCACGAAACTCCAACCTGTAGGCAGTCGTCCACCACTGAATCCGATCCATGTAGATTAGAAGAGTACAAGCTGGCTCCCCTCGTAACCAGAAGATCCCGGATTCGAACCATGTGAATGGGTGCATAGCGCTGAAAAGTACAAAACCAGGGCGAGGAAATAGCTGTCCTACATATTAGAGTAGACACATGGATGAGGGTCTAATTGACAGGTAAATATTTCTTCACTCCATCCTTTTGTCTTCCGAAGAATTTTACACTGAATCCAATGAATTTATGGGCAAGCTGTAACATCAGCTGATATATATGGAATTTTGACTGAAAGTGACCAGGCTTCTCCTTAAAACAACCGCGAAACTCTCAGGAACCACTGGAATCATTGAAATCATCATAAAATGAATCTATATCAGAAGAAACAGGCAGATTTCACAGAAAAATAAACCATTTTATTGGACAATAACCCCCTGCAATTACTACACCTCTATTCTTATATTAGCAGAATTTCAACACAATAGTTCACCTGAAACAAACTCTCTGAGCTGAGTGAAATCAGTCCCAAACGAGCGAATTCGTCGTCCGGTGTGTCGATCTGGCCAGCGAGCTCTACTAGTTGATCTCAGTGGTATACAAATACTCATTCCAACTAACCATTGGTGTATAATTTTACACAAAATGTTACTTGTATATAAACTTGTATTTCACTTCGGTACAGTAAGATGACAGGACAATGTACCGTTTACAAGCAGTCAAACGTTTAGGATTTTAAGAACAATTTTCATAACTGAGTCCAGCTTTTATTGTCAAAAAAGAGAGTGGAGAATACAAACAGAGCAAAATATCATCATGATCTTGACAGTTGAGAATAGACACTTTGTCAATTAAGGCGGTTTGAAAGAAAGTATATAATTAATTCTTATCTTCGATTATTGGTGCTTCAACGACCAACGTAGCACCAGATATCTGAACAGAGAGACAGGATTGATCCACCACCTCTGTAATTTCGAAGGATTTTTTGAATTCAACAAAATCACCAGGTGACTGTTTCTCGTCATATCGTCCAGTAACTATAATCCGATTCGGCTCAAACTTTACGCTAATCTGTTCCTTTTTGAACACTGGATCCACTGACATTTCAATATGTATTATTGCAGTGTCATGTAAATCTGAGAAAATATTGAAAGAACAAAAATTAATTTGAATTTTAGAAATGATTTAGAGAGGGCAAAGTAAAATCAGTATAAAGATATTATATGCATAAAAGGTTTGTCGACAAAAACGTCAAGAAAGAAATCGTCTCCAGGTAAATCACGGTGCTGAAGAAGAAACTTTTGCTGAGGTTATTTAATGTCATTCATCTAATTGTATGAAACGCTCTTTTTATTCAGACGGCTTCAATTTAGGATTTACCAGCCGAAATATGATTTGAGCATGCATCAAGGATAAACTATCGCTTATATCCGCCTCTATATGCATATATTCATCCACATGCTCGTGTGGAGCTGATTACAATGGACGTGGTAAACCTGTTCTCCGTAAACGTGTAGCTGAACACTACCCGGTTTGGTTAATGAAAGGCGAGCATAGGACGACAAAGTCTTCAATTTATGAACACCTTCTGTAGTCAGGTCATTCAGCCCCATGTGATTTATTCTTTAAAGTTATCTATAGGACTAAATGCAATCATTCCGAAAGCTTACGTATTCTCTAGTTATGCATAGTCAAAGCTCTGGCTATACATGGACAAAAGCCTTAATTTAATTGAATTTGAGATTTTCGCGTCGATTGATTGGACCGAAGTGCTCGGTCTCAGGTTGACATGTCGGCTTCTTGTGCAGATGCTTCAACAGTGTCCGGGCATTTAGTTAGTATTTAATTAGTTGATGGTGACTAGCAATGGAATCCAGGGTGCGCATTTTATTCTATTCGGGACTCGTCAACTGGATGTACCTGCATTTCTCAGTGACTGATAATGTTCCGCTGCTAGTCACCATCCGTCCACCAATTAAATACTGACTAAATGCCCAGACATCGTCGAAGCATCTGCACAAGAAGCCGACATGTCAACCTGAGACTGAGAACTTCGGCGAAATCAGTCGACGGGAAAATCTAAAATTGAATTAAATAGTTAATATGACCCGTTGCACAAGAGGTGGCGGTCGTGGCCCAAGTGGTCTAGTGGATAACGCTTTGGCGTTTGAAACTATGGGTACTGGGTTCGAACTTCGGTGGGAACATCATCACTCACTGAGAAATGCAGGTACATCCAGATGAGAAGTCCCAAATAGGACAGCGGAAATGTGCATCCTGGATTCCACTGCTAGTCACCATCCACCAATTAAAAGCCTAAATTATGTATTCAAAAATGTTTTGTCAAACTCTTTTCTTTACCTTGGTCATAGTAATATTCTTTATATTATTCTATTTTACCAAACAAAGTATAATTATATTTCAATAGTTTACACACAATTATAAGTTTTGTTATTGTATTCAGAATACAATTACATGAATGAACGTGGAATAAAATTATGAATACAAAAAACATGAATGAACAAAAAAAATAATGAATTATTTAAATGAATACAAATCATAAATGTGTGAATAGAACAATTCCAACAGTGGTGTGAACACGGGCAGTAATTTTGCTCGAAATATTTCCAATAACAAAATTTATTATTGTGTGTGATAGAGAAGATTTGTGGCTCAGGTGGATGATTTTGATGTGGTTTTGTTCTCTGACCTGGATGGTTAGTTTGCGAAGCTTTCATCACCTTACTGGGTGACATCTTCAGCGCATACTTCAATTTGAAGTGAGCTTTTAGATTTCTCCACGAGTTTATTAATCATCTCTCCTGTTGACCTTGGACGTGATTGGTTGTTTGTGTGTGTTTTCACACCTTCTAGGTTACTTGTATTGGAACCGGTTGTTTCTTTGACTTGAACTTTGACCCTTTGTGTGTGAAGTTTCTGTCTTATTGGTTGATAAATTTTGTCTATCTCGATGTGTCTGTTGATTGATGATTCACTGGAATACTGGATAGGCTTCTAAAAATTCTCTAGCATTCTTGTTATTTCCTTTGTCTAATATTTGAACGTTGTCCCAGTCGAATTGATATCCGTAGTTGTCTGTGTGTAGTGAAATGAGGGAGTGGATACCATGTCTTTTGACGGCTAGCTTATGTTCGTGGATACGAAGACGAAAGGGACGTCCATGACATGGACAGAGAAGAATATACCAAGAAAGTTGAAGAACTACTCAAAGATGAAGATGTATATCAACAACTCCCAACAAATCCCATACAAACATTGGATAACCGCATCCAAAGGACCTTAAACAAGCTCACCAAAACTGGACAGATCACAAAACAAGACCAATGGCGAATGAAATCCAATGGACCAGTCCTACCTCGATTCTACGGCAGACCCAAAATACACAAGGCAAATATCCCATTACGACCAATTGTATCACTCCCAGGAACTCCAACATATAATTTATCCAAAGAATTATACAGAAAACTAAAACACCTAACGGAATCTTGCGATCACTCCATCAACTCTGCTATCCAATTCCTAGAGAAAATCAGAGGCATCCAAATAGATGAACAAGAAATAATGGTATCATTCGACGTGACAGCATTATATACATCCATCGGACAAAACCTAGCAAAAGAAACCATGGAGCAATTACTTAGCAACGACGAACAACTGCCACAACAATCAAAAATGCAACACACAAGCTGGATGGAATGCATAAATCTATGCCTAACAACATACTTCCAATTCAACGGCCAAATATATGAACAAGTCAAAGGAACACCCATGGGATCGCCAATATCAGGTTTGATTGCAGAAGCAGTGATGCAAAGACTCGAAAATATAATTCTACCAAAGATCAAACCCAAGATTTGGATACGCTACGTCGACGACACATTTGTAATCATCAAAAGAAACGAATTAGATAAAACTCACAACTTAATAAACAACGTCTTCAACGACATCAAATTCACAAGAGAAGAGGAATCCGAGAACAAAATACCATTTTTGGACGTCTTAGTCAGGCGAACAACTACAGGAGAATTAGAAACTCAAGTTTATAGGAAATCAACTCACACAGACCAAATACTGAATTACAACAGCAACAACCCAATAACACACAAAAGGAATTGCATACAAACACTATTCAAGAGAGCAAGGACTCACTGCAGCACTCCCACCTTAAGAAAAATTGAAGAAAAGTATCTCATGGACGTCTTCCAAAAGAATGGATATCCACGGAATTTCATCAAGAGACATATACCCCCAAGCCAACCTACCAAAGCAAAAGCCACCAAGGAAAGCACAAAGAAAATTGCCTTACCATATATAAAAGATATCTCAGAAATCACTACAAGACTCTTCAAACCTTTAGGAATTGACGTCGTACACAAACCAACAAAGTCGCTGCACTCAATTCTATGTCAACCAAAAGACTCAACAGCGAAAGAAGACAAAACCAACATCATCTACAAAATAAACTGTAACAACTGCGAAAAACACTACATCGGCCAAAGTGGACGTCCCCTTCGTCTTCGTATCCACGAACATAAGCTAGCCGTCAAAAGACATGATATCCACTCCCTCATTTCACTACACACAGACAACTACGGACATCAATTCGACTGGGACAACGTTCAAATATTAGACAAAGGAAATAACAAGAATGCTAGAGAATTTTTAGAAGCTTGGCATTCCAGTGAATCATCAATCAATAGACACATCGAGATAGACAAAATTTATCAACCAATAAGAAAGAAACTTCACACACAAAGGGTCAAAGTTCAAGTCAAAGAAACAACCGGTTCCAATACAAGTAACCTAGAAGGTGTGAAAACACACACAAACAACCAATCACGTCCAAGGTCACCAGGAGAGATGATTAATAAACTCGTGGAGAAATCTAAAAGCTCACTTCAAATTGAAGTATGCGCTGAAGATGTCACCCAGTAAGGTGATGAAAGCTTCGCAAACTAACCATCCAGCTTATTATTGTGTGTTAACTATTGAAATATAATAATACTTTATTTGATCTAATCTACAATGCTCAAACTTTTCACAGATATTAATCTACTTTACCACTTGAATTCACTCGATTTCACTTCATCTTCACCGTCTTTACTGTTATCATCATCACACTGTCAATATTTTAGACAACACTTGACCTACAATTTCAAAATCGCTGGAATCGAGGAAGTGAAATGACGCAGGCTGGTGAAAGCCTTCAGGAAGTCAGTCAGCCGATGTGCCTTCTTTCGATGAAAGCAAAAGAAGAGATGGGTACCTGGAATGTTCGTACAATGTAAGAAACTGGAAAGGCTGTCCAGATAGATAGCCGCTGAAATGAGAAGGTACAGAATAGAAGTGTTGGGAATCTGCGAGAGCAGATAGTACGGATGTGGAAGGTGCCAACTACCGACTGGAAAGACGATAATCTATTCCGGTCACCCAGAGGACAACCACAAGCACACCGAGGGAGTGGTCATCATGATGTCACCAACATCAGCCAAAGTTCTCATGCGATGGGAACCAATCTCCTCCAGGATAATGACAGCCTGGTCAAACTCAAAAGGAAGGAAGCTTACAATCACTCAATGCGCCTACAAACGTCTCAGAACAGGAAAAGAAGGAGGCTTTCTACAGACAACTTCAAACAGTAATGGACAACGTCCCAAACGGCGATATCAAAATTCTGGAGGGTGATATGAATGCGAGACTGGGAGGAGACAATACAGGAAGAGAACTCACCATGGGTCGTGAGGCCCTCGGTGAAATAAACAACAATGGTGAACTCTTCTCAGACTTCTGCGCCTTCAATGATTTGGTGGTTGGCGGCAGTGTGTTCAAACACAAGGCTATACACAAGGCGACATGGATCTCACCAGATGGACACATCAACAGCCAGATAGATATCAATTCAATCTCAATAAAGTGGAGACGGAGCCTACTGGACACAAGGTCGAGAAGAGGAGCAGATATGGGTTCAGACCACTATCTAGTACAAGAGACTTTCGAGGTAAAGCTAAAAGCCTTGAGGATAGTTGAGGATATGCCACTATGTAAGTTCAACGCTTAAAAACTAAAGGACACAACCACAAAAGACACTTTCACTGCAACTGTCAGAGCAAAGCAGGAAGCACTGCGTGACATCACGGAAGAATCATGCATGGAAGACCACCGAAACTCTCTGAAGGTGATATTCAACGAAACGTGTTCAATGGTTTTAGGAAGAAAGAAGAGACAAGACAAGAATGTCTCTCAACGGACACTTGGAAGCTAATAAAAGTGAGGAGAATGGTGAAAGAGAAAATGATTCAGTGCAAAGACGGACAAGAGAAGGAGACGCTGAGCTCAACTTACACAGCACTGGACCAAGAAGTGAAGAAGAGTGCTAAGAAGGACAAAAGGCAATTCTACGACAACCTGGCATTGAAGCTGAAAAAGCAGCAGGAAAAAGGGACCTGAGGACATCATATCAGATATTTTTTTCTCCACGTCCCCAGTGGGAGATAGGGTTTCAAGCTAGAGGCTTGAAGTTTCTGTAGCAGCGTTTATTTTTACAGGATGGAGTTGCTAGCCTCATGCCCAACCTTTCCTCTTCACCAGCTTTACCTCTTGCTAAGTGAGGTAAAGGAGTGCGTCTGTGGCCGGGGATCGAACCCCGGAGTGTGTGCATGGTCGGCGAGCGTCCTAACCGCTGTGCCACCGACGCACATTATATCAGATAACCAAGTCTCTATCCGGGAAGAGATCAACAAAAGTGAAACCTGTAAAAGACAGTCAAGGGAACCCAATCACCAAGGAAGAAAAACAGATTAAACAATGGGCAGATCACTTCAAAGGACTTTCGAACCGACCATCACCTGCAACCTGTCCAGAAATACGAACAGCAGCGCACTCACAACTGCAAGTTGACACCAATCCTCCAACGAGAGCTGAAGTCTTGAAGGCAATCAAGCTTCTGAAAGCTGGAAAAGCAGCCGGACCAGATGGAATAACCCTCAAGCACTGAAAGCGGACCCAGAGACTACAGCAGACATGCTGACTCCATTATTGCAAAAGGTCTGGAAGGAGGGAAAGGTGCTTACTGACTGGAGGAAAGGTTACCTCGTGAAACTACCAAAGAAGGGCGACTTACGCCTCACTCTGCAAGAACTGGCGAGGAATCATGCTCCTGCCAACGCCAAGTAAAATCCTGAGTCGCATCATCCTGGAGAGAGTAAACGACGCACTGGATACAGAATTCCGACCAGAAAAAGCTGGCTGCATTCAGGAAAGGCAAATCATGTACTGACCAAATTGCAACTCTACGCATCATCATCACAGAACAAAGCATGGAATGCCCATCAAACCTCTACCTCAACTTCATCGACTATGAGAAGGCCTTCGCCAGCGTTGATCGTGAAGTAATTTGGAAACTACTCGAGTACTACGGCGTACCCCAAATATTCATCAACCTCATTCAACAGCTAGCTGTACGACAACGGCACATGTCAAGTGATCCACAACGGAAAACTCGGCGAGGCGTTCGGAGTAAACACAGGAGTCAGACAAGGCTGTTTATTATCTATCACCAATGATATTCCTAATTGTAGTGGACTGACTGGATTATGCGTCAGACATTGGGAAACGAGCAGATAGGGATATCCTGGACCGACGTGAAGGGACTAGAAGACCTAGATTTCATGCGTGGATGATTTATGTTTGATGTCACACAAAACCGAAGACTTACAAGCGAAAACAGACAAACTGGTCGAAGAAGCAGCCGGCGAAGACAGGACTCCAAGTGAACATAGACAAGACGGAGGTGATGAAAATAACCAACCAACAACAACAACAGTGACATCCAGCGCCAATCACCATCAACGGGAGGGATTTGAAAGAGGCTACTTCATTCACTTACTTACCTAGGGAGCATTGTCTGAACTACAGGCAGTCGAAACGGACGAGGATGTCAGATCGAGCGAGAATCGAGAAGGCGAGAAACACATTCACTAACCTGAAACCAATCTGGAAATCTTCGTCACTCAGCATCAACAATAAAAATCGGTCGGGTTTTCAATACAAACGTCAAGTCAGTCAGTTCTTCTATACGGGTCTGATCAGAAAGTTGGTGGGCGGGTCACAATGAACATTTCCAACGGGCTATCGCAGATCTTTATCAATAAGAACTGTCTTCGCTCTGTACTGAAGATCAGATGGCCAGGCCGGAAAGAATCACTAACAAGAAACTATGGCTGGGAAGAAACAAAACAAGAACCATTCGCCAACCAACAAATATGCAGGCGAAAGTGGAGATGGATTGGACACTCACTGAGGAAGCCGCTGGGTGACATCGCGCGTCAAGCCATCACTCGAGTGGAAACCGCAAGGGAAGCGGCGTGTGGGTCGTCGGTGCAATGGTGACATGTAGGTAATCATGTGAAGAGGAGTTGAGACAGTATGGACTAACATGGATGCAGGTGAAAAGTACAGCACAAGGAAGACAGAAGCAAGTGGAGACGTTCATTTGAAGCCCTATGTTCCACTACGAACCCAAGGGAACAATAATAATAATAAATATACGCCAGTTCACATATTCAATAACCTTTAAAAGTTTTGCCATTGATCCAGTTCAACTCTACCCCCTTAACCCATCATTTTACTTATCTTTATTCTTATCATATGCGCGATATTGATTGAGCAGTTTCTAGTGCCCCTTAATGCCTTCTTTTGGCGTAATAGAAATACGACCGTACAGCCTGAAAATGAAGTCGCCGAAATGATAGAGATATTTCTTCGCTGAACAAAAACAATTGTGTCTTTCCTTATACATAAATAGCCTAACGTTTATACTTACCTTTCACAAGAGAAGGATGTGATACGCATGCAGTATTCATTATATTTCCTGATTTCAGTAGTCTGAATATGTCCCAAAGATGAGTTTAATTTGTCCTTGATGGTTTGATCTGGATCCTCAAATTTTAAAATTCTATTGAAAATAAATAAAGAGTTAGCATAAACAAAACAATGGTGATTAGACAGTGAAACCTGACACGCATAAACTCTTTTGAATTCACCATAATCTCGTCATTTGTTTCCTCTAAATGTTTATTTTCCAGATTTTGAGGAAAAAGATGTTTTGTAGTGAAGCCAATGTGTCCAAAATATTCATTTTGTTTTTACAGTACAGAGATGCTTATATTTTCCCCAACCCACCCAACACACATTTGAATCCCACTGGTTGTTAAATGGTTTAACTTATCAAATGTAGGTCACTGAAATCAAGGTCATCTAAGTCTACATATATATATTGAAATACTGTCAAGTTTATTTCGCTATTGAGTTGAAAGTTTGCTTTCTTCCTTTCTTGCGTCGTTTGCCAGTGTGGTAGTGTGTCGTTGTAGGTTTCATTGAGAATAGTGATTAGGAAAGTAGACACATAAATAACGTGGCGAATGCTCCTGTGAGATTTATCAGTAGCATAGATATAAAGAGACACTCATTGACATAGAAACATCAAATAGCGGAGGAGATAGAGAGATTTGACGTCAAAGAGAGGAAATGAACCAGTATTTTGGCAAAACATGGAAGACACGAATAGAAGACAAAGAAACACATTATGAAGGGTGGGAGGTAGCACAACACGACCTACTAATTCGTGATTTGGCGCAACTGGCATCAACCAATGTCATCGGCGGGAAATCCATCCTCACACCTGGATGGATGGACCTCACTGGTCACAGCTTCTCACCAGAACTCCACGAAACTCCGTCCTATAGGAACTCATGTCCCATTGAATCGGTTCTAGTAGCTTGATCGACTACAAGCTGGCTCGCCTTGTAACCAGAAGGCCCTGGATTCGAACCCTGAAAATGAGTGCTTAGCGCTGAAAAGTACAAAACCAGGGCGAGGAAATAGCTGTCCTATATATTAGAGTAGACACATGGATGAGGGTCTAATTGACAGGTAAATATTTCTTCACTCAATCTTTTTGTCTTCTCAGGACTTTTACCCTGAATCCAATGAATTTATCGGTAAGCTGTAACATCAGCTGATATATATGGAATTTCGACTGAAAGTGACCAGACTTCTCCTTAAAATAACCGTGGAACTCCCAGTAGCCACTGAAGTACTTGATTATTATTTATTTATTATTGTATCCTTTAGTTCCTAGAGGAACATAGGGCTTCAGCTGCGCACCTCCATTGCCTTCGGTTTTCTGACAACTTTTTCACCCTGCTCCAGGTCTGTCCACATGCTTTCATCTCCTCCTCGCATGATCTCCTCCAAGTCACCCTTGGACGACCAACTCGCCGCCTCCCTTTCGGGTTCCATTCGAGCAATGGCTTGTCTAGTGATGTCACTTGATGGTTTCCTCAGCGTATGGCCAATCCATCTCCATTTCTTTCTGCCTATTTGTTTCACAATCGGTTCCTGATTGGTTCGCTCCCAGAGATCCCTGTTGCTGATCTTTTCTGGCCATCTGATCTTGAGTATTGAGCGGAGACAGCTGTTAATGAAGGTTTGGAGTTTGTTTGAGATGCTCTTTATGACTCGCCAAGTCTCTGATCCGTATAGTAGCACTGACTTCACATTAGAGTTGAAAATCCGGATCTTATTTTTGATGCTGAGTGCTGTTGACCTCCACACAGATTTGAGAGTAATGAAAGCTTGTCTTGCTTTTCCGATTCTGGCTTTGATGTCCTCGTCAGTTCCGCCTGTAGTTGAGACGATGCTTCCCAGGTAGGTGAAGGAGGTTGTTTCTTTCAGGTTCTTCCCACTTATGCTGATTGTTGTCTGTTGTTGTTGTTGCTGTTGATGTTGGCTAGGAATCTTCATCATCTCTGTTTTTTCTATGTTCACGTGAAGTCCTATCTTTGATGCTTCTTCTGCCAACTTGTTACTTTTCACTTGCATATCTTCCAGTTTATGGGAAATCAGACATATATCATCGGCGAAATCCAGATCCTCCAAGTCTTTTGTGTCAGTCCATTTTATGCCTGTTCCCTCGTTGGTTGCCGTTGTCTGTCGCATTATCCAATCAATTGCAATCAGGAAGATCATTGGTGATAGTAGACAGCCTTGCCTCACTCCCGTCCTCACTTCGAAGGCTTCCGTAAGTTTCCCGTTGTGGATTACTTGGCATGCAGCATTGTCGTATAACTGTTGGATGAGATGTATAATTGTCGATGGGACCCCGTAGTAGCGAAGTAGTTTCCAAATGACCTCTCGATCGACGCTGTCGAAGGCCTTTTCAAAGTCGATGAAGTTGAGATAGAGAGGTGACTGCCATTCCAAGCTTTGTTCAATGATGATCCGTAGAGTGGCGATTTGATCAATACATGATTTGTTTCTCCTGAATCCGGCCTGTTCCGGACGAAGTTTTTCATCTAGGGCTTGTTTGATTCTCTCCAGGATGATGCGACTTAGTATCTTGCTTGGAATGGACAGAAGCATAATTCCACGCCAGTTTTTACATTGACTTAAGTCTCCTTTCTTTGGAAGTTTGAATAAGTATCCGTTCTTCCAATCCTCGGGTACTTTGCCCTCTTTCCACACCTTCTCCAGCAGTGGCGTCATCAAGTCCGCTGTTGTCTCTGGGTCTATTTTCAAAGCTTCTGCTGGGATTCCATCTGGTCCCGGTGTTTTCCCAGCTTTAAGCATCTTGATTGCATTCAGGACTTCTGATTTCGTCGGGGGGTCAGTGTTCACTGGTAGTTCTGCTTCCGTTGTTGGTATTGCTGGACGTGTTGTAGGTGGCGGACGATTTAGAAGTCTTTTGAAGTGTTCAGCCCAGTGCTTTCTCTGTTCCACCTCTTTGGTGATTGACTTTCCATTGTCGTCCTTTATTGGCTTAATCTGTGTCGAACGTTTGCCCGAAAGGTGCCTAGTTGTTTGGTAGAGTGTGGCGAGGTCTCCTTTGCCTGCAGCTTGTTCTGCTTCGTTTGCCATGGTTTCATAATATTTTCTTTTGTCTTCCCTGGCACTCTTCTTCACTCTTTTGTTCAGTGTATTGTAGCTTGCATTCAGCTCCTGTTTTTGTTGCTCGTCAGTGCACTGGATAATCTTTTGTTTCACTATCCTTCTCTCTTCTATTAGTTTCCAAGTGTCAGAGGAGAAAGGCAGTTTCAACTGAAAATAAACAATTTAAGTAGAAAATATCCCCCTGAAATTACTGTTCTCCTCTTCTTTTATGAGCAGAATTTCAACACAATAGTTCGGCTGAAACAAACTCTCTGAGCTGAGTGGAACTCGATACATCACAGGCGAATTCGGACAAAAACGAGCGAATCGGACGTCGGGTGTGTCATTCTGGCCGGCGAGCTCTACTAGTTGATCTCAGTGGTATACAAATACTCATTCCAACTAACCATTGGTGTATAATTTTACACAAAATGTTACTTGTATATAAACTTGTATTTCACTTCGGTACAGTAAGATGACAGGACAATGTACCGTTTACAAGCAGTCAAACGTTTAGGATTTTAAGAACAATTTTCATAACTGAGTCCAGCTTTTATTGTCAAAAAAGAGAGTGGAGAATACAAACAGAGCAAAATATCATCATGATCTTGACAGTTGAGAATAGACACTTTGTCAATTAAGGCGGTTTGAAAGAAAGTATATAATTAATTCTTATCTTCGATTATTGGTGCTTCAACGACCAACGTAGCACCAGATATCTGAACAGAGAGACAGGATTGATCCACCACCTCTGTAATTTCGAAGGATTTTTTGAATTCAACAAAATCACCAGGTGACTGTTTCTCGTCATATCGTCCAGTAACTATAATCCGATTCGGCTCAAACTTTACGCTAATCTGTTCCTTTTTGAACACTGGATCCACTGACATTTCAATATGTATTATTGCAGTGTCATGTAAATCTGAGAAAATATTGAAAGAACAAAAATTAATTTGAATTTTAGAAATGATTTAGAGAGGGCAAAGTAAAATCAGTATAAAGATATTATATGCATAAAAGGTTTGTCGACAAAAACGTCAAGAAAGAAATCGTCTCCAGGTAAATCACGGTGCTGAAGAAGAAACTTTTGCTGAGGTTATTTAATGTCATTCATCTAATTGTATGAAACGCTCTTTTTATTCAGACGGCTTCAATTTAGGATTTACCAGCCGAAATATGATTTGAGCATGCATCAAGGATAAACTATCGCTTATATCCGCCTCTATATGCATATATTCATCCACATGCTCGTGTGGAGCTGATTACAATGGACGTGGTAAACCTGTTCTCCGTAAACGTGTAGCTGAACACTACCCGGTTTGGTTAATGAAAGGCGAGCATAGGACGACAAAGTCTTCAATTTATGAACACCTTCTGTAGTCAGGTCATTCAGCCCCATGTGATTTATTCTTTAAAGTTATCTATAGGACTAAATCCAATCATTCCGAAAGCTTACGTATTCTCTAATTATGCATAGTCAAAGCTCTGGCTATACATGGACAAAAGCCTTAATTTAATTGAATTTGAGATTTTCGCGTCGATTGATTGGACCGAAGTGCTCGGTCTCAGGTTGACATGTCGGCTTCTTGTGCAGATGCTTCAACAGTGTCCGGGCATTTATTTAGTATTTAATTAGTTGATGGTGACTAGCAATGGAATCCAGGGTGCGCATTTTATTCTATTCGGGACTCGTCAACTGGATGTACCTGCATTTCTCAGTGACTGATGATGTTCCGCTGCTAGTCACCATCCGTCCACCAATTAAATACTGACTAAATGCCCAGACATCGTCGAAGCATCTGCACAAGAAGCCGACATGTCAACCTGAGACTGAGAACTTCGGCGAAATCAATCGACGGGAAAAATCTAAAATTGAATTAAATAGTTAATATGACCCGTTGCACAAGAGGTGGCGGTCGTGGCCCAAGTGGTCTAGTGGATAACGCTTTGGCGTTTGAAACTATGGGTACTGGGTTCGAACTTCGGTGGGAACATCATCACTCACTGAGAAATGCAGGTACATCCAGATGAGAAGTCCCAAATAGGACAGCGGAAATGTGCATCCTGGATTCCACTGCTAGTCACCATCCACCAATTAAAAGCCTAAATTATGTATTCAAAAATGTTTTGTCAAACTCTTTTCTTTATCTTGGTCATAGTAACATTCTTTATATTATTCTATTTTACCAAATAAAGTATAATTATATTTCAATAGTTTACACACAATTATAAGTTTTGTTATTGTATTCAGAATACAATTACATGAATGAACGTGGAATAAAATTATGAATACAAAAAACATGAATGAACAAAAAAAATAATGAATTATTTAAATGAATACAAATCATAAATGTGTGAACAAAACAATTCCAACAGTGGTGTGAACACGGGAAGTAATTTTGCTCGAAATATTACCAATAACAAAACTTATTATTGTGTGTAAACTATTGAAATATAATAATACTTTATTTGATCTAATCTACAATGCTCAAACTTTTCACAGATATTAATCTACTTTACCACTTGAATTCACTCGATTTCACTTCATCTTCACCGTCTTTACTGTTATCATCATCACACTGTCAATATTTTAGACAACACTTGACCTACAATTTCAAAATCGCTGGAATCGAGGAAGTGAAATGACGCAGGCTGGTGAAAGCCTTCAGGAAGTCAGTCAGCCGATGTGCCTTCTTTCGATGAAAGCAAAAATAAGGATGTGGACGTGGAATGTTTGTACATTATGCGAAAGTGGTAAGGCTACTTAAGTAGCCGCTGAAATGAGAAGATATGAAATAGAAGTGTTGGGAATCTGCGAGAGCAGATAGTACGGATGTGGAAGGTGCCAACTACCGACTGGAAAGACGATAATCTATTCCGGTCACCCAGAGGACAACCACAAGCACACCGAGGGAGTGGTCATCATGATGTCACCAACATCAGCCAAAGTTCTCATGCGATGGGAACCAATCTCCTCCAGGATAATGACAGCCTGGTCAAACTCAAAAGGAAGGAAGCTTACAATCACTCAATGCGCCTACAAACGTCTCAGAACAGGAAAAGAAGGAGGCTTTCTACAGACAACTTCAAACAGTAATGGACAACGTCCCAAACGGCGATATCAAAATTCTGGAGGGTGATATGAATGCGAGACTGGGAGGAGACAATACAGGAAGAGAACTCACCATGGGTCGCGACGCCCTCGATGAAATGAACGACAATGGTGAACTCTTCTCAGACTTCTGCGCCTTCAATGATTTGGTGGTTGGCGGCAGTGTGTTCAAACACAAGGCTATACACAAGGCGACATGGATCTCACCAGATGGACACATCAACAGCCAGATAGATATCAATTCAATCTCAATAAAGTGGAGACGGAGCCTACTGGACACAAGGTCGAGAAGAGGAGCAGATATGGGTTCAGACCACTATCTAGTACAAGAGACTTTCGAGGTAAAGCTAAAAGCCTTGAGGATAGTTGAGGATATGCCACTATGTAAGTTCAACGCTTAAAAACTAAAGGACACAACCACAAAAGACACTTTCACTGCAACTGTCAGAGCAAAGCAGGAAGCACTGCGTGACATCACGGAAGAATCATGCATGGAAGACCACCGAAACTCTCTGAAGGTGATATTCAACGAAACGTGTTCAATGGTTTTAGGAAGAAAGAAGAGACAAGACAAGGAATGTCTCTCAACGGACACTTGGGAGCTAATAGAAGTGAGGAGAATGGTGAAAGAGAAAATGATTCAGTGCAAAGACGGACAAGAGAAGGAGACGCTGAGCTCAACCTATACAGCACTGGACCAAGAAGTGAAGAAGAGTGCTAAGAAGGACAAAAGGCAATTCTACGACAACCTGGCATTGAAGCTGAAAAAGCAGCAGGAAAAATGGACCTGAGGACATCATATCAGATATTTTTTTCTCCACGTCCCCAGTGGGAGATAGGGTTTCAAGCTAGAGGCTTGAAGTTTCTGTAGCAGCGTTTATTTTTACAGGATGGAGTTGCTAGCCTCATGCCCAACCTTTCCTCTTCACCAGCTTTACCTCTTGCTAAGTGAGGTAAAGGAGTGCGTCTGTGGCCGGGGATCGAACCCCGGAGTGTGTGCATGGTCGGCGAGCGTCCTAACCGCTGTGCCACCGACGCACATTATATCAGATAACCAAGTCTCTATCCGGGAAGAGATCAACAAAAGTGAAACCTGTAAAAGACAGTCAAGGGAACCTATTCACCAAGGAAGAAAAACAGATTAAACAATGGGCAGATCACTTCAAAGGACTCTTGAACCGACCACCACCCGCAACTCGTCCAGAAACACCAACAACAGCACCTACACAACTGCAAGTTGACACCAATCCTCCAACGAGAGCTGAAGTCTTGAAGGCAATCAAGCTTCTGAAAGCTGGAAAAGCAGCTGGACCAGATGAAATACCTCCTGAAGCACTGAAAGCGGACCCAGAGACTACGGCAGACATGCTGACCCCAATATTGCAAAAGGTCTGGAAGGAGGGAAAGGTGCTTACTGACTGGAGGAAAGGTTACCTCGTGAAACTACCAAAGAAGGGCGACTTACGCCTCACTCTGCAAGAACTGGCGAGGAATCATGCTCCTGCCAACGCCAAGTAAAATCCTGAGTCGCATCATCCTGGAGAGAGTAAACGACGCACTGGATACAGAATTCCGACCAGAAAAAGCTGGCTGCATTCAGGAAAGGCAAATCATGTACTGACCAAATTGCAACTCTACGCATCATCATCACAGAACAAAGCATGGAATGCCCATCAAACCTCTACCTCAACTTCATCGACTATGAGAAGGCCTTCGCCAGCGTTGATCGTGAAGTAATTTGGAAACTACTCGAGTACTACGGCGTACCCCAAATATTCATCAACCTCATTCAACAGCTAGCTGTACGACAACGGCACATGTCAAGTGATCCACAACGGAAAACTCGGCGAGGCGTTCGGAGTAAACACAGGAGTCAGACAAGGCTGTTTATTATCTATCACCAATGATATTCCTAATTGTAGTGGACTGACTGGATTATGCGTCAGACATTGGGAAACGAGCAGATAGGGATATCCTGGACCGACGTGAAGGGACTAGAAGACCTAGATTTCATGCGTGGATGATTTATGTTTGATGTCACACAAAACCGAAGACTTACAAGCGAAAACAGACAAACTGGTCGAAGAAGCAGCCGGCGAAGACAGGACTCCAAGTGAACATAGACAAGACGGAGTGATGAAAATAAAACCAACCAACAACAACAACAGTAACATCCAGCGCCAATCACCATCAACGGGAGGGATTTGAAAGAGGCTACTTCATTCACTTACTTACCTAGGGAGCATTGTCTGAACTACAGGCAGTCGAAACGGACGAGGATGTCAGATCGAGCGAGAATCGGGAAGGCGAGAAACACATTCACTAACCTGAAACCAATCTGGAAATCTTCGTCACTCAGCATCAACAATAAAAATCGGTCGGATTTTCAATACAAACGTCAAGTCAGTCAGTTCTTCTATACGGGTCTGATCAGAAAGTTGGTGGGCGGGTCACAATGAACATTTCCAACGGGCTATCGCAGATCTTTATCAATAAGAACTGTCTTCGCTCTGTACTGAAGATCAGATGGCCAGGCCGGAAAGAATCACTAACAAGAAACTATGGCTGGGAAGAAACAAAACAAGAACCATTCGCCAACCAACAAATATGCAGGCGAAAGTGGAGATGGATTGGACACTCACTGAGGAAGCCGCTAAGTGACATCGCGCGTCAAGCCATCACTCGAGTGGAAACCGCAAGGGAAGCGGCGAGTGGGTCGTCGGCGCAAGGGTGACATTTAGGTGATCATGTGAAGAGGAGTTGAGACAGTATGGACTAACATGGATGCAGGTGAAAAGTACAGCACAAGGAAGACAGAAGCAAGTGGAGACGATTATTTGAAGCCCTATGTTCCACTACGAACCCAAGGGAACAATAATAATAATAAATATACGCCAGTTCACATATTCAATAACCTTTAAAAGTTTTGCCATTGATCCAGTTCAACTCTACCCCCTTAACCCATCATTTTACTTATCTTTATTCTTATCATATGCGCGATATTGATTGAGCAGTTTCTAGTGCCCCTTAATGCCTTCTTTTGGCGTAATAGAAATACGACCGTACAGCCTGAAAATGAAGTCGCCGAAATGAGAGAGATATTTCTTCGCTGAACAAAACCAACTGTGTCTTTCCTTATACATAAATAGCCTAACGTTTATACTTACCTTTCACAAGAGAAGGATGTGATACGCATGCAGTATTCATTATATTTCCTGATTTCAGTAGTCTGAATATGTCCCAAAGATGAGTTTAATTTGTCCTTGATGGTTTGATCTGGATCCTCAAATTTTAAAATTCTATTGGAAAATAAATAAAGAGTTAGCATAAACAAAACAATGGTGATTAGACAGTGAAACCTGACACGCATAAACTCTTTTGAATTCACCATAATCTCGTCATTTGTTTCCTCTAAATGTTTATTTTCCAGATTTTGAGGAAAAAGATGTTTTGTAGTGAAGCCAATGTGTCCAAAATATTCATTTTGTTTTTATAGTACAGAGATGCTTATATTTTCCCCAACCCACCCAACACACATTTGAATCCCACTGGTTGTTAAATGGTCTAACTTATCAAATGTAGGTCACTGAAATCAAGGTCATCTAAGTCTACATATATATATTGAAATACTGTCAAGTTTATTTCGCTATTGAGTTGAAAGTTTGCTTTCTTCCTTTCTTGCGTCGTTCGCCAGTGTGGTAGTGTGTCGTTGTAGGTTTCATTGAGAATAGTGATTAGGAAAGTAGACACGTAAATAACGTGACGAATGCTACTGTGAGATTTATCAGTAGCATAGATATAAAGAGACACTCATTGACATAGAAACATCAAATAGCGGAGGAGATAGAGAGATTTGACGTCAAAGAGAGGAAATGAACCAGTATTTTGGCAAAACATGGAAGACACGAATAGAAGACAAAGAAACACATTATGAAGGGTGGGAGGTAGCACAACACGACCTACTAATTCGTGATTTGGCGCAACTGGCATCAACCAATGTCATCGGTGGGAAATCCATCCTCACACCTGGATGGATGGACCTCACTGGTCACAGCTTCTCACCAGAACTCCACGAAACTCCGTCCTATAGGAACTCATGTCCCATTGAATCCGTTCTAGTAGCTTGATCGACTACAAGCTGGCTCGCCTTGTAACCAGAAGGCCCTGGGTTCGAACCCTGAAAATGGGTGCTTAACGCTGAAAAGTACAAAACCAGGTGGAGGAAATAGCTGTCCTATATATTAGAGTAGACACATGGATGAGGGTCTAATTGACAGGTAAATATTTCTTCACTCAATCTTTTTGTCTTCTCAGGACTTTTACCCTGAATCCAATGAATTTATCGGCAAGCTTTAACATCAGCTGATATATATGGAACTTCGACTGAAAGTGACCAGACTTCTACTTAAAATAACCGTGGAAGTCCCAGTAGCCACTGAAGTACTTGAAATCAGCATTAAATAAATCTATGTCAGAAGAGAAAGGCAGTTTCAACTGAAATTAAACAATTTTAGTAGAAAATATCCCCCTGAAATTACTGTTCTCCTCTTCTTTCATGAGCAGAATTTCAACACAATAGTTCAGCTGAAACAAACTCTCTGAGCTGAGTGAAATCAGTCCCAAACGAGCGAATTCGTCGTCCGGTGTGTCGATCTGGCCAGCGAGCTCTACTAGTTGATCTCAGTGGTATACAAATACTCATTCCAACTAACCATTGGTGTATAATTTTACACAAAATGTTACTTGTATATAAACTTGTATTTCACTTCGGTACAGTAAGATGACAGGACAATGTACCGTTTACAAGCAGTCAAACGTTTAGGATTTTAAGAACAATTTTCATAACTGAGTCCAGCTTTTATTGTCAAAAAAGAGAGTGGAGAATACAAACAGAGCAAAATATCATCATGATCTTGACAGTTGAGAATAGACACTTTGTCAATTAAGGCGGTTTGAAAGAAAGTATATAATTAATTCTTATCTTCGATTATTGGTGCTTCAACGACCAACGTAGCACCAGATATCTGAACAGAGAGACAGGATTGATCCACCACCTCTGTAATTTCGAAGGATTTTTTGAATTCAACAAAATCACCAGGTGACTGTTTCTCGTCATATCGTCCAGTAACTATAATCCGATTCGGCTCAAACTTTACGCTAATCTGTTCCTTTTTGAACACTGGATCCACTGACATTTCAATATGTATTATTGCAGTGTCATGTAAATCTGAGAAAATATTGAAAGAACAAAAATTAATTTGAATTTTAGAAATGATTTAGAGAGGGCAAAGTAAAATCAGTATAAAGATATTATATGCATAAAAGGTTTGTCGACAAAAACGTCAAGAAAGAAATCGTCTCCAGGTAAATCACGGTGCTGAAGAAGAAACTTTTGCTGAGGTTATTTAATGTCATTCATCTAATTGTATGAAACGCTCTTTTTATTCAGACGGCTTCAATTTAGGATTTACCAGCCGAAATATGATTTGAGCATGCATCAAGGATAAACTATCGCTTATATCCGCCTCTATATGCATATATTCATCCACATGCTCGTGTGGAGCTGATTACAATGGACGTGGTAAACCTGTTCTCCGTAAACGTGTAGCTGAACACTACCCGGTTTGGTTAATGAAAGGCGAGCATAGGACGACAAAGTTTTCAATTTATGAACACCTTCTGTAGTCAGGTCATTCAGCCCCATGTGATTTATTCTTTAAAGTTATCTATAGGACTAAATCCAATCATTCCGAAAGCTTACGTATTCTCTAATTATGCATAGTCAAAGCTCTGGCTATACATGGACAAAAGCCTTAATTTAATTGAATTTGAGATTTTCGCGTCGATTGATTGGACCGAAGTGCTCGGTCTCAGGTTGACATGTCGGCTTCTTGTGCAGATGCTTCAACAGTGTCCGGGCATTTATTTAGTATTTAATTAGTTGATGGTGACTAGCAATGGAATCCAGGGTGCGCATTTTATTCTATTCGGGACTCGTCAACTGGATGTACCTGCATTTCTCAGTGACTGATGATGTTCCGCTGCTAGTCACCATCCGTCCACCAATTAAATACTGACTAAATGCCCAGACATCGTCGAAGCATCTGCACAAGAAGCCGACATGTCAACCTGAGACTGAGAACTTCGGCGAAATCAATCGACGGGAAAAATCTAAAATTGAATTAAATAGTTAATATGACCCGTTGCACAAGAGGTGGCGGTCGTGGCCCAAGTGGTCTAGTGGATAACGCTTTGGCGTTTGAAACTATGGGTACTGGGTTCGAACTTCGGTGGGAACATCATCACTCACTGAGAAATGCAGGTACATCCAGATGAGAAGTCCCAAATAGGACAGCGGAAATGTGCATCCTGGATTCCACTGCTAGTCACCATCCACCAATTAAAAGCCTAAATTATGTATTCAAAAATGTTTTGTCAAACTCTTTTCTTTATCTTGGTCATAGTAATATTCTTTATATTATTCTACTTTACCAAACAAAGTATAATTATATTTCAATAGTTTACACACAATTATAAGTTTTGTTATTGTATTCAGAATACAATTACATGAATGAACGTGGAATAAAATTATGAATACAAAAAACATGAATGAACAAAAAAAATAATGAATTATTTAAATGAATACAAATCATAAATGTGTGAATAAAACAATTCCAACAGTGGTGTGAACACGGGAAGTAATTTTGCTCGAAATATTACCAATAACAAAACTTATTATTGTGTGTAAACTATTGAAATATAATAATACTTTATTTGATCTAATCTACAATGCTCAAACTTTTCACAGATATTAATCTACTTTACCACTTGAATTCACTCGATTTCACTTCATTTTCACCGTCTTTACTGTTATCATCATCACACTGTCAATATTTTAGACAACACTTGACCTACAATTTCAAAATCCCTGGAATCGAGGAAGTGAAATGACGCAGGCTGGTGAAAGCCTTCAGGAAGCCAGTCAGCCGATGTCCTTTCTTTCGATGAAAGCAAAATTAAGGATTGGGACGTGGAATGTTTGTACAATATGCGAAAGTGGAAAGGCTACCCAAGTAGCCGCGAAAATGAGAAGATATGAAATAGAAGTGTTGGGAATCTGCGAGAGCAGATGGTACGGATGTGGAAGGTGCCAACTACCGACTGGAAAGACGATAATCTATTCCGGTCACCCAGAGGACAACCACAAGCACACCAAGGGAGTGGTCATCATGATGTCACCAAGTTCGGCCAAAGTTCTCATGCGGTGGGAACCAATCTCCTCCAGGATAATGACAGCCTGGTCAAACTCAAAAGGAAGGAAGCTTACAATCACTCAATGCGCCTACATACGTCTCAGAACAGGAAAAGAAGGAGGCTTTCTACAGACAACTACAAACAGTAATGGACAACGTCCCAAACGGCGATATCAAAATTCTGGAGGGTGATATGAATGCGAAACTGGGAGGAGAAAATACATGAAGATTGTAAATTGTGCATTGATAAACATTTTGATAAACCTTCTTCTTGACCTTTGTCATAGTAGTGTTCTTTAATTTCATTCTATTTTACCACTTGAATTCATTCAACTTCACTTCATCTTCGTCATCTTCATTGTTATCATCGCCACACTGTCACATTTTTAGACAACACCTGACCTACAATTCTTAAAATCGCTATACCAGTTCACTTATTTAATAATCTTTGAAAGTTTTGTCATTCATACAGTTCAAATCTACCCAGCCCCCCCTTAGAACATCCTTTCAATTATCTTTATTCTCATTATATGTGTAACATTGACTGATCAAGTTCTAGTGCCACTCAATGCCTTCTTATTCTGCAATAGAAAAATACGACTGTACAGCCTGAAAATGAAGTCACCGAAATGAGAGAGATATTTCTTCGCTGAACAAAACCAACTGTGTTTTTCCTTATACATTAATAGCCTAACTTTTATACTTACCTTTTCCAACAGGAGGATGTGATACACATGCAGTCTTCATCACATTTTCTGATTGTAATTGGTCAGTAATCTGAATATTTTCCATAGATGAGTTTAGTTTGTCCTTGATGGTTTGATCTGGATCTTCCAGTCTTGAAACTGCATCCTAAAATAATAATAATAATAAACGGATGGCGTAAACAATACTATGGTGATTAGACAGTGAAAAATGACACGCATAAATTCTTTTGAATTCACCATAGTCTCGTCAGTTGTTTCCTCTAGATGATTATTTTCCAGATTTTGATGAAAAAGATGTTTTGTAGTGAAGCCAATGTTTCCGAAATATTCATTTTGTTTTTATAGTACAGAGATGCTTATATTTTCCGCCATCCATAACCTTTGAATCTTATTGGTTTTTAAATGTTTTAATCCATCAAATGTAGGCCACTAAAATCAAGGTCATCGAAGTCCACATATATACATATACACATATGAAAATAAAGTTCAAGTTTATTTCGTCATTGATCCGAGAGTCACAACTGCTATACGATCCTGGATAGTAGAGATTTATGAGTTCCTCAGAAGGGAATCGAACTCTGAACCCATGTAAGCGGTTCGTGAAAATTCTGATTTTGTATCAACGAATAGTTTGTGGCACAGACTGTCAGTTTAGTTATGAATTATTCACATAACTTAGTAGGACGTATTTATTTGAAACATGTCCTTACCTTACTGTCTTCACCTGTTCCACTAAGATTCTTCGGTATATCATCGGTTGAATTCATTGTCGGTGATTCTGATCTCTTTGAGTCGACTTTTTTACGAATACCATTTATTTGACGTCCTACTTGATTCACTAATCCGACAGGATTAATAATTCCAAAACCCATTGCTTTTGTTGGCTGTAATATAAGATAGAAAACACATATTTGTATGTATACATAGAGAAAAGTGTAGAATTTTCATTAGTGAACAGTTGGGCGGAAACTTCTCCGTGAAACAAGCTGGATCCAAGAAAAGCAAATCATGTGTGGATCAAACAGCGACGCCACGCATCATCATCATCATCATCAGTGAACAGACTCTGGTATGGCAGTTAAATTATCTATCTCAACTTCATCGACTCTGAGATGGCCCTCGATAGGGTCGATCGTAAGGTGATTTGCAGACCGATTCACTCCTATGGAGTGAAGTGGTGTAAACTTTTAACAACCTCATTCAACAGCTATGTGGTAATGTCACACAGTTGAAATCTCAGTGGAACGTTCGAAGTGAAGATAGAAGTGAGAAACTGTTGCCCAATATTACCGACAGTATTCCTGACTGTAGTCGACTGGATCATGCAATAAACCTTGGAGAAAGAAAAGATGGAAATACACGGAACTGGTGAGAATACCCTAGAAGATCTGGACTTCAAGGATGGGCTATGTCTGATGTCACAAAATCGCGAAGATCTTCGGAAGAAAACCAACAAACTGACAGCGAAGACAAGACTTCAGGTGAACATACAGAAGACAGAGGTGATGAAGATATGTAACCAACAGAAGTGTCTGTCAGTCACCTCCAAAGGAATGAATATGAAGGAGGTCAGCTCTTTGACTTACCTAGTTTGGTAGCATCGTTTCAAATAAGGGCAACCCAGAGATCAGAATGTCAAATCCAAGGTCGGAGAGGTAAGACATACCTTCGTTGCGCTGAAATCACTGTGGAAATCGACTGTACTCAACATGAAGAACAAGATCAGGATCTTCAACGCTAATTTCAAGTAATGAAAAGCATTTTCAACGGATTGCTCACTTTTATCCTTTTATCAACATCTTCCACCTTTGCTTGTTGATGATGATCAGACGGCCTACCATAGATGTTAAGCAAGCAGGAGCGCTGCCAAAGAAGCAACCGGGAACCCATCACCTTACAGATATATGGGAGAAAGTGGAGACGAATAATACACACACTGTGGAAACCGTTGAATGACATCACACACTAGGCAGCTCGTCGGGTGGAATCCGAATGGGAAAAGATGAGTTGGGGATGGGTCGATAAGATCGTTTTAGGAGAAAATGGACAATCGCTGAGCCAGGTGGAAAATACTGCAGAGAACAGAGTGAAGTGGAGATGCGTTTAGAAAGCCTTATGTTCCAATCGGAACCTTAGGGAATTTGTTATTTGTGAATGGGACGATTCATGGTGTGAAAATGACTCAATTCAAAATATTCAAACTACTACTTAAATGATAATAATTATATACGTATATAAATATATGAATAAGATTCCAGCTTACCAAAAGTTTTAAGGCTTCTTTCCCAACTTGTTCGACAACTTCACCATGTTTTCCAAATGATGAATTCACCCAACCACCAAGTTTACGCGGTAATTTATCCGTAATAGATTCTTCATCATCGTCGTCATCATTATTTGTCTGATCATTTGTAGGTTTTGAGAAGAAATCATTACTACTGTAGCTTTTCTCAGGTTTAATCAACTCTTCAACCACAGGATAGTTTGGCATGGCTATCTTGTTTTCTTTGATGTCTACAGTTTGAACTGGGGCAAATGAAATGAATACATGTATATTTTAATGTGGCTTTATAAATAGATGAAGAGAGAAACAGAACCAATCACTAAATAGCTTTATGAATGGTCATTCCTATAGCTAGCTATACATCGACAAGATCGTAAATTATGCATTCATAAACGTTTTGATAAACCCTCTTCTTTACCTTTGTCATAGTAATGTTCTTTATTTTCATTCTATGAACTGAGGAATTCCTAGTGTCTCTTTATTCCCTTATTTTCCGTAATTTAGATAAAACTGTACAGCCTGAAAATGAAGTCGTTGAAACGAGAGAGATATTTCTTCGCTGAACAAAACCAACTGTGTTTTTCCTTATACGTTAATAGCCTAACTTTTATACTTACCTTTTCCAACAGGAGGATGTGATACACATGCAGTCTTCATCACATTTTCTGATTGTAATTGGTCAGTAATCTGAATATTTTCCATAGATGAGTTTAGTTTGTCCTTGATGGTTTGATCTGGATCTTCCAGTCTTGAAACTGCATCCTAAAATAATAATAATAATAATAAACGGATGGCGTAAACAATACTATGGTGATTAGACAGTGAAAAATGACACGCATTAATTCTTTTGAATTCACCATAGTCTCGTCAGTTGTTTCCTCTAGATGATTATTTTCCAGATTTTGATGAAAAAGATGTTTTGTAGTGAAGCCAATGTTTCCGAAATATTTATTTTGTTTTTACAGTAAGGTGATGCCTGTTTTAACCCATACTCATAACATTTGCTTCGGTGGTATGGCGGTTAGGACGCTCGCCGACCGTGTATATTGTCCGTGGTTCGATCCCCGGCCGATGTACTACTTTACCTGGCTAAGCCATAAATAACCCTGGTAAAGATTATAGGTTGGGCATGGGGCTAGCAACTCCGTCCTGTAAAATAAACGCTGCTACAGAAACTTAAGCCACTAGTTTGAAGCCCTATGTTCCGCTGGGGAACGTGAAGGAAAATAATAACCTATGAAAGCCAGTGGTTTTTAAATATTTTAATCTATCAAATGGAAGTCACTAAAATCAAGGTAATCTTAGTCTACATATATACATATACAACATTGAAATACTGTCAAGTTTCAGGATTTGATCATGAGCTGACATTAGCTAGAGAACCATTGGAAAACCTGCGAGTACTGGACAGCTGTTTTGTCCTAGTTTTTGACTTTTCGGCAATACGCACCCACCCAACACTTGAATATCAATGAGATGCTCACTAGCGACTTCCCGTATCCAGGTAGGTAGTTACCCGAGGTTCTAGTGAGAAGTCGTGACTTTTAGGGTGCAGCGGGTCGGGTGTGAGGACAAATACTCGCCGAAAACATTGGCTAGCGGTTGCGCTATGTCGTGAATTGGCAGAAGTTAGAATTCAAGGACCATTGGATCGGGTCCCAGTGGCTTATGGATACACGAGCTCGCCTTGTAACCGGAAGGTCCTGGATTCGAATCCCGCAGTGTGGGTGAGTACTGCTGAAACAGAGTCCCAAACTAGGACGAAACAGCTGTCCAGCACTTCCAGGTTTTCCAATGGTTCTCTAACTAATGTCAGCTCATGATGAAATCCTGAAATCAATCAAGTCCCTACAAACCAACACTTAAATACTGTCAAGTTTATTTCGCCATTGATCCGAGTCAGTAAAAAAGATTAAGTTAAAGGTTTGTCTGTCTTCCTTTCTCGCTTCGCACACCAGTGTGGTACTGTGTCGTTGTAGGTGTCATTGAGAATGATGATCTAGAAAGTAGACACAAATTTTTTGTATATGCTACTTATAAGATTTAACAATAGTACACATATAAAGAGGTACTCAATGACATAGAAACTTCAAATATCGAAGGAGATAGAGAGATTTGACTTCAAAGACAGGAAATGAACTAGCGTTTCGGAGAAACATGGGAGACACGAATGGAAGACAAAGAAAAACAATATGAAAGCTGGGAGGTAGGACACCACGGAATATCTGTGGAGATGATGATTTGAAGTAAAGGTGTACACAGTTTCGTTATATAGAGATAATATATTCCAAATAAACATTCCTTAGCGAAGTCTCTCGTCTTCTACCAGGTACAAATCTACTAGTGAGGACGTTCCCTAGCTTGAGAAACTCATAAACTAAAAAGTTGTATTGATTGTCATATCAAGATATCTTCACTTGTCTTAAATCCTTAAATCCATCACATACTGCAGACCCTGTTGGTATTCCAAGCATTTTACTTCGAAAGTGTGGAAATATTTTCTGTCATCCTTTCACATGAATTATAAATGAATCATTTCAAATGCATATAGTCTCACTTGCTTCGATAGAAATAAAGATAGCGTCTATACCGAAACCATGATCTTCCCGATCAGTTTTTTTCATTTAGTTGTGCTCTCTGAGCTTGTTGATTTAACTGTGGAGCTTTCGTCATCTTTCTAGACAACATCTTCAGAGCAGGTTTTATTATGAAATGCATTTATTTCTCAAGTAAATTATATGGACTGCAATAAACACTACACTGATAAAACAGGGGGCGTCCTCTTCAACTCAGAATTCGAGGACATCAATCATCTGTATAAAAGCGTGACATATATATTCTTTCATATCGAAGCATGTAGATAGTTACGGACACCAATTAGATTGGACGAATGTAGAAATTTTAAATAGCAGAAACACTGAAAATGCAAGGGGATTTCTAATAGCCTGGTAGTCAACTGAATCAGTGATTAATAAGCACATTAATGTTAACCAAATTTACCAACTAATAAAAAATAAACCACATGTGACAAGAAAGTTCAAATTCCAAGTCAATAAAAATGATCACTAGAGATGTAAATTAATGTCTAATCACAACCATGGTTTTTGGGGAGATACAAATACATCAGTCATGAAGAATTAAAATAAGTACATTTCATACTAACACACGCATTGAAGATGTTGTCTAGAAGGACGATGAAAGCTTCGCAATGAAATCAACCAGGTCAGAGAACACAACTAGATCAAAATCATCCCTCTGAGCTACACACCTTCTCTATTATTTCTTCCGGATCAGGTTTGAAGTTTAGGTCAGTCACAATGAAGTCTCCATTTTTGAAAACTATGGAAAAAGTTCTCTCGCTTGTTCTTCAACCCTCATTAAAATCTTTCACTGACCTCAAGTGATTTGTTTATAAATTCAGTAGAAGTACCTTAAATGCTTCCATTGTACTGTGGTGTAATACTGTTTCCAGTCTAGATAAAGGTGGAAAGTTTATTCGGTCTGTCTTTTTAGACTGCACTACTGTCTTTGATCCTATTCCTAGGACACTTTTATTAAGCAACCTGAACTCTGCTGGAGCAGAGCCTCAAATCATAAAGTGGTTGTCTTGTGATTTTTCGAGTGGGAAATACCTCACTGGTTTCTAATAGGAAGCGATCTATTTTGTTGCATACTGAATCTGGTTTTGTACTTTCTCCATTCCTGTTTGCTTTCTGTTTTCATGACATTCTTCACTCTTTTGAAGTCGATTTCAATAAATATGCTGGTGAACTGACAATTTATGTCCGAGTGGTTTCTGCATTAGATTGCTGTGTTGTGAACAGTTTCGTATCTCAAATTAATCGATAGTACTTTCAGAAAATTCATACATTTATTTACCTTTATGAATTTGAATAAAGCAATAACAACAGTTTTAAAGAATAAGATGGTACCGTCATTATTTCGTTGGCTTCTCATCAGCTACTTACAGCCTAAATATATTATGAGGTTTATGTACACAAAAGTTTTATCATACTCGCGAATTTTACATGATGTCAGTTGACATAAAGTTCCGAACTTAGTGAACAGTGATCAGAAAATTACCCTTGTATAGTTTTTACACAGGGAGTTCAAGTTTAAACAAAGTAAATGTATACATACAATGGTAAAGGAGTTGCGTCATAAAGACGAGTGGTGCGTAAGATGATCAGTGACACCTCATGAGGTCCTCATGAAGAGTCCTATACTAGGGGGAGGAAAAAGCTGTCCAGTACTCCCTGTAGGTTTTCCAATTGTTCTCTCTCTAACTGATTTCAGCTCATGATGAAATCCTCCAACCAATCAAACAAAATCATCCTTTCAAAACCAACACTTGAAATTGTCTTCTGTTTCTTGAAGGAGAAAGATTATTATTGTTATTAGCATGTCTTTCTCATTCCTTTGCATTCCCCAGTTGGACGTAAGGCTTCACTGTTTCAGTAATCGTGTTTTTGCGTTTCTTCATTTAATGGGATAGCTAGCTTCACAGCTGACGCCCCCTCTTCACTGGCCTTATTACCATCCCAAATAGTCGAGATTTAAGAGTGCGTCAGGCGGAAATCAGACTGAACCCATGTAAGTGGTTCGTAAACATTCTGACACTGAATCATTGAAGAATTGGTGGCACAGACCGTCAGTTTAGTTATGAATTATTCACATTTCTTAGTAAGACGTATTTATTTGAAACATGTCCTTACCTTACTGTCTTCACCTATTCCACTAAGATTCTTCGGTATATCATCGGTTGAATTCATTGTCGGTGATTCTGATCTCTTTGAGTCGACTTTTTTACGAATACCATTTATTTGACGTCCTACTTGATTCACTAATCCGACAGGATTAATAATTCCAAAACCCATTGCTTTTGTTGGCTGTAATATAAGATAGAAAACACATATTTGTATGTATACATAGAGAAAAGTGTAGAATTTTCATTAGTGAACAGTTGGGCGAAAACTTCTCCGTGAAACAAGCTGGATCCAAGAAAAGCAAATCATGTGTGGATCAAACAGCGACGCCACGCATCATCATCATCAGTGAACAGACTCTGGTATGGCAGTTAAATTATCTATCTCAACTTCATCGACTCTGAGATGGCCCTCGATAGGGTCGATCGTAAGGTGATTTGCAGACCGATTCACTCCTATGGAGTGAAGTGGTGTAAACTTTTAACAACCTCATTCAACAGCTATGTGGTAATGTCACACAGTTGAAATCTCAGTGGAACGTTCGAAGTGAAGATAGAAGTGAGAAACTGTTGCCCAATATTACCGACAGTATTCCTGACTGTAGTCGACTGGATCATGCAATAAAACTTGGAGAAAGAAAAGATGGAAATACACGGAACTGGTGAGAATACCCTAGAAGATCTGGACTCCAAGGATGGGCTATGTCTGATGTCACAAAATCGCGAAGATCTATGGAAGAAAACCAACAAACTGACAGCGAAGACAAGACTTCAGGTGAACATACAGAAGACAGAGGTGATGAAGATATGTAACCAACAGAAGTGTCTGTCAGTCACCTCCAATGGAATGAATATGAAGGAGGTCAGCTCTTTGACTTACCTAGTTTGGTAGCATCGTTTCAAATAAGGGCAACCCAGAGATCAGAATGTCAAATCCAAGGTCGGAGAGGTAAGACATACCTTCGTTGCGCTGAAATCACTGTGGAAATCGACTGTACTCAACATGAAGAACAAGATCAGGATCTTCAACGCTAATTTCAAGTAATGAAAAGCATTTTCAACGGATTGCTCACTTTTATCAACATCTTCCCCCTTTGCTTGCTGCTGAAGATTACATGGCAACCATAGATATTAAGAAAGCAGGAACTCTGGCAAAGAACTGACCAAGAACCCATCATCTTACAAATGTGTAAAAGGAAGTGGAGATAAATTAGACACCCACTATGGAGACAGCAGAGTGAAATCAAACGCTAGGCAGGTCGTCGGGTGGAATCCGAATGGGAAAAGACGAGTTAGGAATGGGTCTAAGTTGACATCGAGAAGATCGTCCTTGGGGAAAATGGACAATCGTTGAGCAAGGCGGCAAGTACTGCAGAGAACACAGTGAATTGGAGATGCGCCCTGCAAGCCTTATGTTCTAATAAGAACCCCTACAGAATTTTTTATTTGTGAATTAGACAATTTATGATGTGAAAACTAATCAATATTACCTATATAAATTCAAAATATTCAAACTACTACTTAAATGATAATAATTATATACGTATATAAATATATGAATAAGATTCCAGCTTACCAAAAGTTTTAAGGCTTCTTTCCCAACTTGTTCGACAACTTCACCATGTTTTCCAAATGATGAATTCACCCAACCACCAAGTTTACGCGGTAATTTATCCGTAATAGATTCTTCATCATCGTCGTCATCATTATTTGTCTGATCATTTGTAGGTTTTGAGAAGAAATCATTACTACTGTAGCTTTTCTCAGGTTTAATCAACTCTTCAACCACAGGATAGTTTGGCATGGCTATCTTGTTATCTTTGATGTCTACAGTTTGAACTGGGGCAAATGAAATGAATACATGTATATTTTAATGTGGCTTTATAAATAGATGAAGAGAGAAACAGAACCAATCACTAAATAGCTGATGATAAGTGTACGGCTGAAATGATTTGATTGGTTTCTTTATATCAATTAATTTATTCAATTGGAACACGAGTGAATCTATCGGCTTTAATTATCCTGTATTTCCCAATGTTTGATTTTTATTATATTGACACTGGGGAGTACTAATCTGACGTATTTTTCATGCTGCTTTCTCTACAAAACAGTAATGTGTGGCCTCTAAACGTGTGAATTACCGATGTTCATGAACTTATATCCCTACGCTTTTCTTTGTCTGTCAGTGGGACGGTTGTTCAAATTTTGATCAAAGAAGCTAGCTCTCATGTGCTTACTTTATTCTTCTATATATGGCCTGTCTTTATATCAATCCTACAAAATCCAAACTCATATGAGACAAGGAAAGTAGATTGCATAGTTTAAAACTTTTACTTTTCGAAGGCAGTCACTTATTGATGGTCTCCGACGATATCTCTGCCCACGCTGCACATAAAATGTCGTAGACTGCTTTAGTCCCACCTCTCAGCAGGGTCCGCAGTACCATCATTTTGTACTCGGATCCTGGACGCCCACCAATGTAGAAACGCCTTCGAACTTCCGCGGGAAGCTTATAATTTCTCTCTCTCTGAATGCTTCAAGTCACAGGATTTTTACCTGGTTGGAGTGAGCAACAACAAATGTGATTACAGAACCAGGCAAAATGAGGAAACCTCATGTTAAAATCATCATTTGCACATGTTTCTCGTTTTATCCTTTTTTTGCCTTCCATTCATTGTTTCCATATTGTTTCACAGGAACCTTTAACTTGTTTTCTTTGCGGCTTAGCCTGTTTGTTGCCCAGCTATTCAGTATCATTGCAGAAGACACCACATACAGTAGACTACTTATAAAGTCTTATTAGTAGCATAAATTAGTTAGGAGACAGTTGATATCTGTAAGTTATCACGCAGATACATTCAGCATTCTGTTGATAGGTCTGAAATAGGATGCATTAGACATTCAGGATCCCATTACTGATTATCAGTAAATTTATAACAGTGAAATTTTCGCATTACAAAATCCTCTTCCACTAGCATGAATGCGAATACACTTAAAGGAATTATTATTCCCTTGGCTCCGGAAAGGAAGATGGAACTTTAATAACACATCCCTATTTCATCTCGTTCCCTGCAGTCCTGTTTAGCCAACTCCATGATAACACAAAAGCTTTCATCTCCTCCTCACATAATCTTCTCCAAGTCACCTTCCAGCCCTTTCTCGACTACTCTTTTCCCATCCGAGGACTTAGGGTGTGATGTCATTTGGCGGTGTCTCCAGAGTCTATCCAATTCACCCCTATTTTCTTTGGCATATTTGTTGAGTAATTGGTTCTTGGTTGGTTCTTTACAAAAGCTCCTGTCTGTCTATCCTCAATGATAGGTCATCTAAACGATCACAACAGACAGCTTGTTTGTGATCCAACAGATTACGAGATAATAAAAAACGTGAAAACATCCGAAAGATATGACTACTTGCACTTATTTTCACTTTGTTTCCAATGGTCAAGAGAACGACTCCACTCCACAGAGTTCTAAGTTACGATAGCAGATCGGTAAATAAAACAATAATAATATTTAAGAGTTTGCTTTGTAAGGATTACATTTATCTATACGAGTTTTACCACTGATTGATATAAGTTAGAGAATCATTGAAAACCAGGGAGTACTGCCAGACAGCCGTTTCACCCTAGTTTGGGAATCATCGGCAGTACGCACCCACACCGCGTGGTTCGAACCCAGGACCTTCCATTTACAAGTCAAGCTCGTAGACAACTCAATCCACAGATAAATTCGTATAAACAAGCCTAATCCGTACAAATGAAACTCCTGAAAATTAATCTGATGCACGCTAGTGACTTGCTAAAGGATGAAGTTTCCTGGAATTCTAGTGCGAAGTTGTGACCAGTGAGGTACATCCAGCCAAGTGTGAGGATGGATTTCCCCGCCGATGGAATTGGCTGGCGGTCACGCTTAGTCACGAATTGGTAGAAGTTAGAATTCACGGCCTGCCCACCAAATCGGGTCCGAGTGAGTGACTGAATGGTGTACGAGCTTGCCTTGTAACTGGAGGTTTCTGGGTTTGAACCCCAGTGCTTGCCTACTGCCAGTTATTCCTAGACTAGGATGAAATAGCTGTCCAGTACTCCCTACAGCTTTTCAATTGTTCTCTAACTGATATCAATCCGTGATCAAACTCGTATAAATAATATTGTTGTAAAATTAAAAATCAGTAAGTGGGCTGGGAACTTTTACTCATATTTACTATTATTCATAGTAAAACACTCATCGAGAAGACTAAAAACACACTAGTAGGCAGGGTTTTTAATTTCAAATTATCTGATAAAAATTCTTTAACCGTATAATCACTATGTAACGGCAGAATCTGACCTATACGATAAAATACAATTCTGTAGTGAATAAGTTTATTTGACATGATACATGGATAATCATTTGCATGACGTCTGAAGCACAGTTTATTGTTTCTAATCACATCTGCTGTACTTGCGAATGAAAGATGACAATCCTTGACAATTTCAAAAAATCTATGAGACGAGTATTGACACAATGAAGTTTCTTACGAGCTAATATTCACCACTTTACATTCCATACACTCTGCCACAGTATCCTGTCACATATTCAGATGATGATAATGAAATTCAAGTTTTGGTTTGCAGGGATTTGATTGGTTTCAGGATTTCATCACGAAGCGATATCGGTCAGAGAACCATTGGAAAACCATCTTAGAGTACGGGACTACTGATTTGTCCCAGTTTGGGACTCTTCAACGGTACATATCCACTGGGCCTCCAACTCAGGACTTTCTGGTTATAAGGTGACCTCATACACCCGTGAGCCGCTGGGAGCCAAAGAGTCTTAAACTAGGATGATAGTGACTGTCCAGTACTCACAGGTTTTTTAATGGTTCTCTTACCGATGTCAGTTCATGATAAAATCTTGAAATCATAATGAAATTTGACAGTGATTCAGTGGTAGAAAATACCCACTAACCAAGCACGTGGACTCAGGTCGATTCTGAAGCCATACATTCCTAAATCTGTATTGGTTAACTAGCCGGTAGAAGGCCTGAAAAGAAGGGAAGGTTGAAAGCAAGCTAGCAATCACACCTAGTAAAAAAGAACAAGACCACTATTACATAAACCTCAAAAGCTATAAGCCCCACTTTGGGCTCAGAAAGAAAAAAATACGAAAATTTTATCCTAAGTTTTGAAAATATTGTTGGACGCGCATAATATGCCCTGTGATTTTATTAAAAGTCCACGTCATACATCTTATCATCTGCTTTTGTGATGACACGTATTGCACCAAATAATTTGTGATTTAAAATATACTACTTTATATCTATTAAGTACCATTGTTTTTGATGTGGTTTTGTTCTCTGAGCTGGATGGTTAGTGTGCAAACTAACCATCCAGCTCAGAGAACAAAACCACATCAAAATCATCCACCTGAGCTACAAATCTTCTCTATAATATCTAAGTACCATTGTGTTTATTGATTATTTTTTCAGGTCATATTAAGCATTCAAGAAGTCAGGGAAGACTGGATTTATCGTTGTTGTGTAGCATTGGACCACCCCTACCATAAATGCTGGGCACCAGTATCCACTTGACAGGCAGATTAACTTATTTTTAAATTCTGACAAAGAATACTGAAGAGAAAGATTAAATCATTTGTGAGAGAGTTCACAGTATTTAACTCCATTATGGATTAAATTTTTCGATAAAATCACACAGTGTTATACAGTGTCCAAGTTTTATCCTTATATCAGTAGCGATATATTAGGGAGAATGAAAATCAAGGTTGACTTTGGGAAATAAATCTTCGCACTTATTTGACTGTTAAGAATACAAACTAAGAAATTCACTCTGTATCTAATTATTGGCACAAATGAGGCGTAATATAGTATCTCTGCCGAATCAATTGCATCCTCAATAAAAAATTACTCAAAGCAGCTTAAACATCCACAAGAGAATGAGGAGCTTACTTGGCTAATATTCAGTTATTTCAAATGATGAATTCCACTTTGCTAATAGTATTATTTCAGTGCTAATATAGCATGCTACTCTGAATTCATAAAAGTAGTTTATTTCAGCCTGTCTCATTCCAAATTCTTTTCAATATTAAATCTTTTCTCTTCTAAGTGCTTTGGTCTTGAATTCGTTGTGTTTATTTCATTTAATATTCCGAGAATCTTATATTCTCAAGTCGTCGTTGGCAGGGATTTGATTGACTTCAAAGCTGATCAGGAAGTGATTCAAGATAGAGAACCTGTGAAAATTAGTGATCACTAGACATCCGCTTTATCCTAGTTCAGGACTCTTCAGCAGTATACTTCCATGACTCCAATTCCAGGCATTGATCCCTGAAGACCAAACACTGAAAAATGATGACTAGTAACTCACAACAGGATGACGTTGCCTAAAGTTCTAGCGAAAAGTTGATGGCATTGGGGTCCAGCAAGTTGGGTTTGAGGACAAATACACGCAGATGATACTGGTTGGCGGCTTTGCTACCTATGCCGCCAATTAACAGAAGTCAGTGTACTCCGTATCAGTGACTGAATGGTATAAGAATTCACTTCATAACCTCAAGGTCGTGGGCTCTTTCCTGGGTAGGTTCATTGGTGCACGCTCTCGAAGAGTTCCAGACCACGGCGAAACAACCTTCTATTACTCCTTGGTTTCCACTGGTTTTCTAGTTGAAGTCTCTCTTGATCGATCTTGAAATCTGACTTAGATTTTATTCTACTTATCACATTTTGCAATAAAATTTAAATTACTTAGTAAATCCTAAATGCAGTGCGTGCCGATTGGAGGTAAGGTTGAAAATTAGGTCGCAACAT